TTTCTGTACAGCTGTCTTGCTCCCATAACCAGTAGTTTGACTGCGCTGCCCAGTATCTAATCATACGATGTAACTTGACGGGAGGGAAGGAGTGTGATAATAGGATTCCCCTGTTTTCATCTGGACTGGAAACTGTCTCTTTTGCATGTGCCGTTTGTGAGTTCTTCTTGTGTTCCAGTGGGCAGATTAGTAAATATGTTGGTGAGAGGAGACCTAATGCAAATAATTGTTCTGCTTTGTTTTGCATACGAGTGAAGATGGGGTTCTTCCCTTCCTTCAATGGCACTTCTCCTTTTGAAAAATGAGACAAAATATAATAAGTTTTAAATTTTGTGGGCTGACATGCTAGATTTTGATATTACCTTCCTTTGTAGACTACATCTAACCTTCTGAGGCTCAGTTTGACGCTCAGCTCTGCTCATTGCAATCTTCTATTCAATACTGAATGCCCCCTCTTCCCCCATCGCTGCTGTAGAAGGGTGATGCCTGTATGTTTTTTTTGGAACACAAGCCTCCCTGAGAGTGTATTCTCAGTCTTGTTTTAGGTCCACGTATCGAATCAATCCTTCCAAAATAGATGTAGATGTTGTTGGTCAGTCTGAGATGAGATAATGAGAAGTTTAATTTTCTGCTTTTTATGAATATTTTTACAGTCAACACTTCAAACCCACTTTATCACAGAGGCTGAAGTGCAAGGCATTTTAGGCAGTAAAACCTCACCTTTTTTAAAAAGATGATGTTAGACTGAACTCATTTCCAAATTCCAAACATTTAAAAAGAAAATCAAAAGTTCCAAAACCTGACCTGTGATTATGCAAAAGCAAGGCCACAAAAAGAGGTGACTGAGAGCAAGTATATAAGTCAATAGAAACATCACAGCTGGGGTCAGATCAATTGCCTTCATGTGTAGCACCTAATATTTCATTTCATTGCAATCAGTGAAACTAAATAACAGGCATTGGGTAAAGTGGGCAGCTGATTCAATCTCACCCATTTTGTGCCCCTGTCCAAGGCAAACACTTCGTCCCAGGTTTCTAAATGGTAAATTAACCAGACGATAAATGTTGAAGGAAATGGGCGAGGAAGTAGCAGAACAACTCTGGCTATAGATTAAAAATCTAAAGTATCTAAAAAAAATCTAAAGTATTGCCTCCAGTAATTTAAATTTCTAAATGCAGGCTCTTTGTTGTAGGTTTATGCTAGGAAAAAGATATTTGTTGACACAGGTTGTAGGAGAACTCGCATTACTTGCTGAGTTTGGTTATCAAAATGGATCACCCCTAACTTTCTTGCAATGGTCTTGCAATTTGAGTGGAAAAGACAATTCAATCGCACCCACAATCTTTATTCTCTTGATTTTTCAAGATAGCTCATGTTGGAGAGTTTCTGTAGCTTTTGATCTCTTTCATTAATACAACACAAGCACTTTGATATTTATTCTGCATAGAAGTGCAGACTGTGAGGGAAATAACATTTTTTAACTGAACAGGTCACATTTAAACTAGGGTAATATTGAAAATACTGGAATTGGATGAGCAGGACATGAGGTTTGAAGGGAGCAGGTTGAGCAGGTGGAGTTGTGGCAGAAGAAGAGAAACATGCCAAATTGACTCAAAAGATATGCATTATCTGTTGATGAGTTATTGCTGGAATCCTTCATTTCACCACCACCCCAGCTCAAATATAGTAACCTCTGCCTATTGTAATGATCAAAGCAAAATCCGTAATGAATATTTTGTAAAAGTACAATTTGAAGTGTTATGTAAGGAGTGTCATGATACTTGTAAAATGTGGACAATCAGTTTTCAACCTCCATCATCAGATTTCATACCCAGGACGTTTCATGGACTAAAATCGATCTAAATTGATCTCAAAAAAAATAGTAAACACTGACTTAAGATGGGTACAGTGATCACTGGATCAGGTTGAACAAGTTGATGAATCCATTTTTGAGGTTAACAAAGTCTGAGCCAAAATTAACATTTTATCGAAAGACACTGAAACTCGGTCAGGCATGAAAGAACTTTGTCCAACCATTTTGATTTACAATCTTCTGGATGTTTACATATTGGGATGGAAGTTGCCTGCAGATTAGACAGCTTGAAAACACATTGATGCCAGACATGAGAATATGCAAGTGAACTTTACTTCAGGCAAAACAATTTTATACAAAGCAGAGAGAGCAAATAGATTAGTTACAACAGAATTGGAAGACCCACTCTCTGCCAGTTTTTTTTCCAGCCTCTCAAGAAAAGTAGCGTCTGCTAATGAGGCAGATTGATGAGGCATATGTTCACTGATAACTCGAAGATATTTACAGATCTTGTGACTGCTGAGGATACAAGACATTAATTAAATAACAGTGGTCTCGAGTTAAAATCTAATAAATACCTCAGACTTTAGTGACTTTTTAAAAACTACATCCTTGCCTTTCTTTTTGTGTCAGACACATTCCTTTCTAAACATTCTTACCTATGTTCATATATGTGTTTGTTGCATTTAATTGTCTTTATCCGGATTAGTAAATAATAAATTCCACTTTCTTTCACACATGAAATTGTTGGAGTTGGCTTCTTATTTTTGACTAGTATTCCTTTTTAATTGAATTATGATGTAGCTGTTTGTGGAAAAAAATTAAAAATGTATACGATCAACTGAGGAGGTTAAAAAGAGGAAAGCTCATACATCCCTCCTCATCCGATCATAATGAGAACTAGATGTAAATACATGCAAGCTGCTGCAGCCTTAGAGGGCCTGTATCTTTCTTTCTGTCCTGTGGGATTCTGTTATTCTCTAAACAGACAAGATGGCAGGAAAAGACATTGTGCCTGACACACTTGTAATTAGAGATAAATATTTGACTTGTGAAAGGTGCTATTTTAATGTTGGTGCAATCTAAGGTGAACTCCAGGAGTACTTTTGAAAATAATTCTCTGATACTGAGACCCTTTGGCAGATTCAAAGCTGGAAAATGCTTTTGGAACGTGATTTCCAGTTACTGTCAGGTGTGAAAATAAGCAAACTGTTGATTCCAGCAGGTCAAGCCACATTAACTTTGTTCTAACTTACTAAAATCTTTAACATTTTGGGCTTGAGTCCTTTTTAAGAAATGGCTTAATGTGGAAGAAATTCGACAGGATAAGTGTACCCACTTGAGAATTTTTTGGTGAGGGTGTTTAAGATTCAGTTGTCATGTGGTGATGCAATTATTAACTTGATTGTTAATGCAGCCAAAGCTAAAAAGAATTAGTTTTTTTAAGACTATAAGATATAGGAGCAGAATTAGGCCATTTGGCCCATTGAGTCCGCTCTGCTGTTCAATCACGGCTGTGCCCCAAAGAGCTTTATCTAGGTATTATCTCCAAACTCTTCCCATGTTTTCCTCCTGTCACTTTTCTTTGATTCAGTTTGTTAGACAACCAGCAGTGTACTGTCTTAAACCTATGTAATGTTTTCCCATCAGCAGTGCTTCTATAGTCTTGCTCTGCCATACCTCTGTACACTCCTTGCATGGCTTCTGTACGCTGGTAACTTTTATGCGTACCGCTCTGCATCTTCTTGTGGAGTTGTGTAAATAAAACCTGCCTAACAGGGAAGTGAAGGAATGGTAAAGAATAAGCGTCTTCCCTTTCTCAAATGTACGTGCAGGCTTTTTGTTTGAAAAAGCAGTGTTCACATGTTGCAGTAATTAAGGCAAAATTGCATTTTGTGTGCAGGTAGTTCTCTAGTAACATGATAGTTATGTTCCCAAAAATCACTGTTAAGTGAAACTGCATTATTCAAAACATATCCCAGTATAAACTCGTGTAAATATTTGGGATACTTTTCTTGCCTCGTATACAAGATTTCTCATCTGGAGATGGCAGACTTTGGACAGATTTTTTTAAACAAAATACTTTGCCTGCCTCAATTAAGGCTGGATACGGATAAAGTGAGCTGAGCGAGCAAGAACTTGCCCAGGAATGCTAAGTTATGGTGCATATTTATTCCTCCGAGTTGCTGGTGATGGGGTAAGAACAGCATTGTTGTGAATTAGATGTATGTTATTGGAATCATGGGTTGTAGGATAAAACCTATTGGGATGAAACTGTTAATTGAGGACTTCTTTTATCTGAGAGAGGAATTTTCCATGGCTTAAGCCAGGAACAAAGTTACTGATCATTACTAGTCTTAGAGTAATAGTCATACAGCATGGACACAGACCCGTGTTGGGAACAATTTGAGGTAATAAATTCAGAGCTGCATCAGAAAACTATTGACTCTTTTTAAAAGTATGCTAGTGGCAATATATTGAATAAGCATGTTTAGAATTTCTCACTGGAGATAGTAAGCATGAAGTGTTAGAATTCAATCTGCTACAGTTTCTCAGACCCTTTTTCTCCTTAATTCTTCCTAGTTCCTTTGTGACATTCTAACTACCTATAATCATAATTCACGGTAAACAGGTGATAATAGTTTACACTATGGAATTGTCCCTACTCATGGACCAGGAGGCCTGGGTTCAAGTCTGAAATTGTCTGTAGTGTTCAAGGATGTGTATTATTATACTATCATGGAAGGACTGTTATTCCAAACTTGTTATTCCTTTATTTTTTTCTAATTTATTACTATGATTTTCTGTACTTTTTGGACGTTTGTAATGGTGGACTTATTTCTTTATTTTTCTATTTTTTTTCCTTCAGAATTTGTATTCAAGAATCTGTACTTGAGTACCTTTGTACCTAAGATGGCATCATAAGCGGCAACTTGTAAACTTTTCACTATACTCATGTAAAACTTGCAATAAATAAATTGACATAAATAGCATGACGGGGAGCAGCCGTGGCTGTCGTTGGTGGAAATTTTCATGGGTAGTGTAAAAATAAATGGCCTGATTTACTGAAATTTCCTTTGCCCTCAAAGAAAAAGATACTATCATTATGAGGAAGCGTAGATATCTACTGAAGATTGCACCTAATCTGTCTGCTGCTTTATTGTGTTTCTCTTATGGTTGTTTACAGTGCACTGTGCAGGTTAAATTGGAACTAGGCCACCGTGCCCAGCTTCGGAAAAAGCCCACCACTGAAGGATTCACCCATGACTGGATGGTCTTCGTCAGAGGACCAGAACAAAGCGATATTCAGCACTTCGTGGAAAAAGTGGTTTTTCGGTTGCATGAGAGCTTTCCAAAACCCAAACGAGGTGAGTGGTGCTTTTGAGAAACATTTGTGGTAACCCCTTGTGTCTAAAGTTCTGATACTGGAACATTCTGATCTTTGTCCATGTTGAAGATTCTTGTGTGCATGTTTGAGATTAGCTAGAGATGGAGGTGGATTGAAGGAAATAATGGTAGCATTCAGTAAAATCGGTTCTGACTTGCTAGAGTGATTGAAATAGGGATGGTTGGAACTATCGACTACATCTGACAAATTGCCATGTTATAATTAAATAAGTAATTTTCTTCTGCCCTCAGCTCTGAAAAGAATTGCTTATACCCACACATGTTACTGTTCAGCACCCTGTTTTAAGCAGATGAGAAATCCTTGTTTTCGAGGCCAGTAGGTTTGAAATCGTTGAAATTCCTCCTTTTGATCAATTTAAATAAAACAAATCTTTGATCATCTCTCACTCTTCTGTCTTTCCCCAACATCTCTGTGTCTTCTCCTTGGTCTCTTCAAGCTCAGTTCTATACTCACTGACCTACGTTGGTGCCAAGTTCAGCAAGACCTTGATTTTAAAAATAGCTGTCATGTGTTCAAATACCTCCTCATCAAACTCCTCCTGGCCTCTGACCTACTGCAACTCTGTAATTCTGCAAGAACAGTGTGTGCCTCCAATTCTGATCTTTTGTACATCCTGTGCTTCTTTTGCCACATAATTGGCAGCTATACTTTTAATGGTCGGGATTATGCCTCTTTTTTTTCCCTCTCTTTTTTTAAGATCCTTATTAAAATCTGCTTTCATAAAGCTTTCATTCCCAATCCCTCTGATTTTCTGACCAGTTTTTGTTTAATTGTGATCCTGAAATGCCATTTAAAGATGCTGTATCAATAGGAGTTGTTACTTTGTCTGTTTTATTCTCTCTACTTTTGGCATCCTTTCCAAACTTTTTCCAAAGAATTATTACCTGCATTTGTTTTATCTGTAATTTTCTTTTGTTCTTTCTGAAGCTTGGTCTCTGTTATCCTTCTTTCAGCCTTTCCCTGCCTTTCCTTGCCTCTATTCCTATCATTGCCATTATTTGATTTTTCTTTCTTTTCCTCATTGAGTACAGTTTTCCTCATTCACTTCTTATCAATCCTCTTCTACTGATATGTCTTTTCATTTACTTATTGTCTGTACCCAAGCACAGACTGTCCTGACTAGACTGTGTCTTCAATAGCTGCTGCTGTTTGTATTTCTCTCCTGTCCCATCAACAACATCTGATATTTTGGTTTTTCCCCAAGTTTCTAATTTTGTCACTTTCTGAACCATGTTGTCGTCTTCTGCACCCCGCACTGCTCCCTCCTCTCTGTTCGCTGCCCACTCCTACATGACCCTATGTACATCTATGCACTTATTGCTGTTGTAGCTAATTTATTTATTCATTCACAGGATGAGGGCATTACTGGCCAGGTAGCATTTACTACCCATCCCTAATTGCCCAGAGGGCAGTTAAGAATCAACCACATTGCAATGGGTCTGGAGTCACAAGCAGGCCAGATTGGGTAAGGACAGCAGTTTCCTTCCCTAAAGGACATTGGTAAACTAGATGGGTTTTTCCGACAATTGGCAATGGATTCATGGTCATCATTAGACTCTTTAATTCCAGATTTTTATTGAGTTCAAATTCCACATCTGCCATGGCGGGATTCGAACCCAGGTCCCTAGAACATAATCAGGTTCTCTGGATTAACAGTCCAGTGATAATACCACGAGGCCACCACCTCCCCTCCTCCACATCCTCTGGCAACTCATTCCATACATGCACCACCCTCTGTGTGAAAAGTTGCCCCTTAGGTCTCTCTTAAATCTTTCTCCTCTCACCTTAGACCTATGCCCTGTAGTTTTGGACTCCCCTACCTTGGGAGTAAGCCCTTGGCTATTCACCTTATCCGTTCCTCATGATTTTACAAATCTCAATAACGTCATCCCTTAGCCTGTGACACTTCAGAGAAAAAAGTCCCAGCCTATTCAACCATTCCTTGTAGCTCAAACCCTCCTTGCCGGCAACATTCTTGTTAATCTTTTCTGCACCATCTTAAGTTGAACAACATCTTTCCTACAGAAGAGTAACCAGTATTGTATGCAGTATTCTACAAATGGCCTCACCAATATCCTCTACAGCTGCAACATGACATCCTAACTCGAATACTCAGTGTTCTGACCAATGAAGGCAAGCATGCCAAACACTGTCTTCACCACCCTGTCTACCTGAGACTCCACTTTCAATGAACTATGTACCTGCAACTTGCAACTGTTCTAAAATGGAGAATGACTACGGAATTCTGACATCAGAGGGATTTAGGTGTTCTAGTGTGTGAGTCACAAATAGTTTCATATTTTGTGCAGCATGTAATCGAAGGCTTAGAGGGATGTTATCCATTATGTTCAATTCCTCTCAATAAATGGAAGGATGCTCTGCATCAGTTATATAGGACATTGACGAGGCCACATCTAGAATATGATCATCAGCTTTGGTTTCCTTATTTTTAAGGAAGGATGTAGTTGCCTTGGAGGTAGTTCTGAGGAGGTTTACCAGATTGATAACTGAATTGAACAGGTTGTCTTACGAGGACAGGTTGGACAGGCTGGGCTGGTTTTCCTTGGAGTTTAGAAGAGTGAGAGACAACTTGGTTGAAATCTATAAACTCGTGAGTGGTCTTGATAATGTGGCGTGGAGAGGATGTCTTCCCTTGTCAGTCAGTCCAGAACTAATGGGCATCTTATAATATTAGGGGTCACCTTTTTAGGTCTGGGAAGGAGATTTTTTTTTTCTCTCAAAGGTTGTGAGACTTTGGAACACTCTGCCTCGGAAGGTGGTGGACATTTGGACCTGGAATATTTTTAAGACAGATGTTAATTAATTTCTGTGCATAACAAGAATGTAAAGTTTCTTGGAGTAGACAGGAATGTGCAGTTCAGAACATAAACAGGTCAGCCATGATCTTATTGAATGATGATGCAGGCCCAAGGAATATTCGAGTGCTTCTATTTTGGATGTTCCGCTCTATTCATATCCCTTAATGTAATTTGTCTCAGGAAAACTGTTGATCTCTGTCTTGAACTTGTGAATTGGTTTGAGTTTCCACCACCTTCTGATTAGAGGACTCTCAACAGTTCACCATGCTGTGAGTGAAAATCATCCTGCTTATCTCTGGATAAAGGCCATTTAAGACTGAGATTATGTCCCCTGGGTCTGAACCCCCATCTAGGGGAAATATCCTGTCCTATATACGCCCTGTGATACTATGTGTGAAATTTGTAAGTTTCAATGAGATCACCTCTCCTACAAAACTCTAAAGGATATGACCGAGGTTTTTCAACCTTTCCTCGTAAAACAATCCTGCCAGCCCAGGGGTAAATCTGGTGAATCTCTGTTGCACGCTTTTTGATTTGATTTATTGTTGTCACAAGTACCTAGGTACAATGAAACGTGAGGTTCTACATGCAGTATGGGCAGATCATTACCATCTATGGCGGGTATATCCTGTCTTGGATAAGGAGATCAAAATGGTATGCAGTACTCCAGTTCAGGACTCAGCAAGGCTGCATACAACTGCACCAAGATGTCTTCACTTCTGCATTTAAATCCCCTTGAAATGAGTGCAACGTATCATTATGCTTTTCTAATTGCTTGCAGCATCCATGTGCAAGCTTCTCGTGATTCATCGACAAGGACATCCACACTTTACAACCTGTCACCATTTTAAGGAACATTCTATCTTTGTCTTTTTTTTACCAAAATGAACAACTTTGCACTTACATTGCATTTCATTGCCATGTTCTAACTCATTCATTTAGCCTACTCAAGTCCTTGCAATTCACGTTCATGTCCAGTTTGATGACATCAGCAAATTTGGAAATATTACAATTGGTCCCCACAACAACATAATTTAGTTAATCATGGCACTGACCCATCCCACCAGGACAGCTACTGTCTTGAGAATAATATTCCTTCTCTGCTTTCTGTCTATTAACCAATTCTCAGTCCCATCCTACTAAAGTCCACAAACTTCAGTTTTATTTACTAACCTGTGTGGTACTTTATCAAAACCGTTTTGAAAATCCAGTGCACTGCATCCATTCATTCTCCTTGATCTTTGCTACAAGTATTAAACATCTCCAAGTTTGTTGAGCATTATTTCCCTTTCATTAAGTCCATGTTGACTTTGCCCAATTTTGCCACTCTCTTCTGAACGTTAAAATATTTGATCCCTTATAGTAGATTCCAGCATTTTTCGTACTATGGACGTCAGGCTAACCTGCCTTGGGAAAATAATGTTGCTTCTATTTCTAACCACCAATTTAGTTTCTTAACAGATATTGATCCAGCTTCCTTGAAAGATGTCACACTCTGGGAGTTGGTTCTGTTGTGACCACTAGGGGTACATTTTCTTTGTAACTTTGTTCAAGGATTGTGAATTTAGTTGTCCTTCTGTCTTACACTTGTTTATACAAGATGAGTAATTAGATACTTCGACATAATCTCTTTCTGATCCATTATGCCCTGCTCCGTTCCCTCCTCTATGTTCCTGCCATCCCACAACTCACCAGCTGCCATGTAATCTTGCAGTTTATACTGTATGCCCCATTATCTCCTACCAACCATTGTAGTGACTGTTGGCTGCAAAGTGAGTGATCCAGTAGTTAACTGCTTTGAAGATTCCCTGGCTCCTCTTAATCATTCCCTTGACTTATTTACTCTAACTTTCCCTCTATTTAAATTGATCTGTTCTTGGCAGCTTCACTGTTATCCGTCACCAGTGACATTCCTTTGGTACATATTTATGTCAAATCCTTGACTGTCTTGAATGACTACGTAATCTGTTCAGGCCGCTTGCTACAGACACAGATTCTGATAATTAACTGATCAGATGAAAGCCCTGCACTCCTGCCACATCCAATTGCGAATATAGAAGGATATGGAATTCAGTTGGAGGTGAAGACTTTATGAACAAGACTTACTTGTGTTTTCTAATTATCAGTCCCATCTATTTTC